CCCCTGCAGAGTGTGCTTAGGACCCTGCCTGGCACCCTATCCTCAGGGACCTGAAGTGCAAGGACTCAGAGGAAGAGTCTCCTGTCCCACCCCACCTGCTCCTGACTTTTCTTGTGATCCCCTCATTGCTCAATAAACCACCACTTCTCAATCAGAAATTCTCTTTGTTTCCTTAGTGTCATCCTTTGTTTTGCTGCCAAACACCTCAGGTTCTTCAGTGGGGAACACTTGAACCATTTCAAGGTGCACCATCCTAGAAAGTGCTCAGTTTGACGCCCTTTGCCCTAAATGTCCACTGAACCCCTGAGATACCTGCTGTGCACACTCACACCAGCCATGTCTCATGTACTCCTCAATTCTGATGTCCTCAACAGAGACCCAAGCTCATACCATGCACTATCTCCAGTGTGCCTCAGTAGCCCTTCCCAGCTCTGCCCTGAAGGGTCACTGTTAAGGTGCAGGGGCGGCTCCACTGGGAGATGTCATCCCCAGTCACCCCATGCATCCCATTCCTCAGCTGAGTTCCCTGGGCTGGTGGGACTGGGATCCAACACAGTCAGTTGTCCTTGCAGCGTGGCCCTGCTATGGGAAGAAAAAGGAACCAGAAAGAGGGCAGGGAGTGAGCCAAATGGAGAAAGAGAAATGAAGGGAGGCTCAGGAGCCCAACTTTAGGCTAGAGGAAGAGTGGAAGGAAGCAGGAATTTGAGTCAAGCAGAGGTCTGGGCATCAACAGAGGCTTTATTTGAGGGTTTTATCTGAGGGATCTCATCAGGAGATCACTGATCGATCAGCTGAGGTCTGTAAAGGTCCCGATCACTTGAGAGCCATGTGAAGGCATGGAGAAGGCCACCTGCAAGGGCGTTGCCCAGGCCCTCCCCATGCATGTTAGCACAGCGGAGGCACAGACAGATTCTGCAGTGCAGGAGAGAAGAGTGTGTACCAGGAAATGCCCCGCTCTGGGCACCGTGTGTTCACTCTCTTGCTCAGCACTGGGCATTGTGTAATTCTCTGAGGGTGAGGAATTTCATGCAGCTACTAAGGACATGGGATGAGGCAGAGGCACAAACAGCTTATCACGGCATGTTCAAATGCATGAGGATCAAAATCAGATTCAGGCTTATTGTACCATGAGGCTGTGGTCTCAAGCATTAAACTAGACAGAAAAATAGTCAGCAGGAGTGACTTAATTGGTTGTTGGGTCATGGCTGCAGCCAGGAGAGGATCACTGAATGACAAAGACACCGTGGGTGAAACAGGGGAACTGGGAAAAGACAACATAGGCCCAGCATGGGCGTCCAATGACTGTCCAAGGGAAGCATGTGAGAGGCAGGAGGGATGCCAGGACTAGGGTTGGGGCCAGGTTAGAATGGACCATGGCGGGGTGATTGTGACCAGCAGGCTTCAGAAGGGTCTAGCATCCAGGGAGCTGCAGATCCAGGCTTCAGGCACAGCAGTCCTCACTCCCCACTTCGCATAATGTGGCTGACACCTTCCAATGTCCACCCTCAGCCTTAGGTTAGGACACACACTCTCAGGCTCTTGTTTACACTGAGCTCATGTATGCGATGGCCCTGGCAGTATACCTCAATCCTCTAGGCTAGAGGAGTTCATAGAATGCAATCTCTGTCCATCCAGCTTAGGAGAAACATGGTAGCTGCATCCGCTGGAGCTGTGGAATAGCCAGGCCCAGCCAAGGACAGGGCTGGCAGTGACATGAAACTGCTCAGTTATAGCAGTACAGAGAAATAAGTAGGGCCCCGTCAAAGATTATGATGGCCACAAAGTCGCAAACGCCAGCCTCTGAAGCAGACAGCAGCTGAGCCCAGTGATGGTCCCACAACATTTGTCTGATGCCACTGCACAATGTAAAGCCACAGACCACTTGGACCACAGCATGGCTCCCTGGTATCCGATGCAGAATCCACCCAGTCATCAGGTACACACTCTACACAAAGTTCTCTTTAGTTTTTCATAAATTTCTATATTATAGAATTTTCCACACATAGAAGAGACCAAGGAACACCAATGTATGATGCCATCAATAGCTGTCAAATAATGAATTCATGGGTCACTATCTTTCGCTCACAACAGAAAGACTTCATTCTTGCTTGCTACTTTGAAGAAAATTCCATACATCACTTCTTTCCACCTGTAAATATTCCACTTCTGTCCCAGAATGAGCACAATATAACTGTAGTATGCTTGTCAAATCTAAGGACAGTTTCTCAATAATAACATAAAAATAATCCTGGTCTCTACAAATCCCTTTCAATGTCTTAAGTGTCTTAGTTGGGTTTGCAGTGTTGTTTTTCTTTTTGTTTGTTTGTCTTTTGTTTGTTTTTTTATGGATCTTACAGTCTGTGTACGAAGATGAAACGAGGTTTCAAATGGGCTCTGCAGCGCATTTTCTGCCTGATGTCACCTGATAGAGTCCCCAAACTGTCCTCTTTCTTCCTTACCAGCTAAGCTGCTGCTCCTGGGAATGGTCTGGGCCACTACACAGCCGTGGGCCTCCCTGAACCGTCCCTGAGTGTTTCTCTCTGCTTCTCCTTCTCCTTCAAAATATTCCCTCCACACAGAAGATGAAAGGCACAGAGATGAGTCTCAGGGAGGCCCTTCATTTGTGAAGAGAGCGGGCTTTTCCAAGGAGGCACCATGCCCTTGAAGCATCTGCAAGTGATGTTCCCTTCTGTCATGCAGAACACACAGGTCCAAGAGGGGTTGCACCCCGCACAGCTGCAGCTGGGGGTCGGGGAGGGGCAAGGCCAGGAGAGGTTTTTGCACTAGTTTGTGTCATAGTGTAATGTGTTCGGTGGAGGGACCAAGCTGACCGTCCTAGGTAAGTGACTCTTTCTCTCTCTCTCTCTCTCTCTCTCTCTCTCTCTCTCTCTCTCTCTCTTGCTAGTATCCTTGATTTGAGACACTATTCTGCTGTTTATGAGCTTTTTCTCTGTTTAGTCTCAGCCTGGGATCAAACTTTCTCCCTGCATTTTGACTGAGTGCTGACCTGTTCCTCCCTGTTAACACCTTCATGTTTCCCTTAGCGGTCATCAGCCCTCCTTCTCCCTGAACTTAGATAAACAGACTGAACAAGATAACTTACTAAGCTCATCTATCCATCTGTGTGTCTGTTCTCTGCTTATCAGTCTGCCTGTCACACTTGGTAGGCATCTCAGAAGTGCACTTTCCTGCTCCCCTTCACATCCAATGTCTGTCTGAGGAGCTTTGTGCAATGCGTTTTGTGATGCTCTAGACTGAGGCCCTGTCACACGACCAGGGTCGGGCAAGGGGCACTGAGGTATGGGAAAACTGGAGAATTTAGACAGACCTAGGTTTCTAAGGGCTAAGATTATGTAGCCACAGGTTAGAGGCTCTGGTGTGGTGGCAGCTAGCGATTCAGGATCAAGACCAAGCAAGTAAAGGTAGAGGTGACCCCCAAGACTCCGTGGGGAGCTGACATCAGAGCCAACCTGGGATTTGAGAAACTTAGAAAAGAGTGGAGAAAAACTTTGGATGAAATTGTTCCAAGATGGCAGTGATTAAAAGCTTCACTGGGAACTGAGTTACCAGGTCTCTAGGACATATATTTCTCAGAAGAGCCAAGCATGCAATTGACATATGAGAGGGTCAAAGGAACCCAATGCACAGGTCTGACATTAGACCTTGCTTAGAGACATCCTGTTCACAGAGCAGGCACCAGACAGCAGGAAAGGAGGAAACTGAAGTTTAAAACTTAAACTTCAGGAGCTTTACCCAGCCTGGGTAAAGCTCCTGAAGTTTAAGGCAAATTCTAGACTCAGACTCTAGTGAGCAGGGAGGACAGACCACAGCCTGCACTTCTACCTGCCAGGAAACTGAGGTTGCAGAGACATCAAAGAGAGAGAGTAGGCCGGGAAATCCAGGGGAGGACACTTGTAAAGGGGTTCTGGAAAAACCCAAACCCACTGCTAACGGCCATGAGGAAGGCTGTAAATATGCTCATGATGTTCACAATAGGATGGGTCGGAATGACTCTGGGCAGGAGGGTCCAAAGCCCCCACCTCAGCTCTGCTCATGCCCGCCACCCTTGTGTTGGTCCAGGTCAGCCCAAGTCTGCACCCGCAGTCACCCTGTTCCCGCCCTCCCCTGAGGAGCTCCAGAACAACAAGGCCACGCTGGTGTGTCTGATGAATAACTTCTACCCGGGCGCTGTGACCGTCAACTGGAAGGCTGATGGCACCACTGTCACCCAAGGCGTGGAGACCACACAGCCCTCCAAGCAGAGTGACAACAAATACATGGCCAGCAGCTACCTGAGCATGACGCCTGCACAGTGGAGATCTCACCAGAGAGTCAGCTGCGAGGTCACACACGATGGCAGCACTGTGGAGAAGAGTTTGGCCCCTGCAGAGTGTGCCTAGGACCCTGCCCGGCACCCTATCCTCAGGGACCTGAAGTGCAAGGACTCGGAGGAAGAGCCTCCTGTCCCACCCCACCTGCTCCTGACTTTCTCTGTGATCACCTCATTGCTCAATAAAGCACCCATTCTCGATCAGAAATTCTGTTTTGTCTCCTTGTTTTCATCCATTATTTCATTGGCAAACACTTCACGGTTCTCCCTTGGGTAATTAGGTAGAATTTAAGCACTGCATGTTTCACGCCCCTAGAAAGTGCTCAACTTCCCACACTCTGCCCTTAACATCCACTGTATATCTCTGGGAATCGAGCCATGAGGCTCACCAGGCATGTCCCATATGCTGCTCAACTCAGACCTCCTCAGCAGAGACAAAACCTCATATCATGAACCATATCCAATGTGCCATTGGTAGCCACTCACAGCTATATGCTGAGGGTCACTGCTTAGCTACAGGGGCATTTCCACTGGCAGATGACACCCGCAGTCACCCCATTTATCTCATTCCTCAGCTGAGTTCCCTGAGCTGGTGGGATGAGGACCTAACATAATTAGCTGTCCCTGCAGAACGGCCCTGCTATGGGAAGGAAATTAAAACTAAGGAAATTAAAATTAAGATAGGAGGGAGCTCGGCATTGCAGAGAAGTAGAGAAATGAAGGGAGACTCAGGAGCCCACCAGAGGCTATAGATAGACATTTGGCGGAAGAAGGATTTTGTGCAGAAGCTTTGGGCAGAATCTGAGCCTTTCCTTTCTGGCTTTACCTAAGGGTCTCATCAGGAGATCAGTGACGGGCTAAGTGGGTGAAGTTTCTCGCCATCAGGAAGCCAAGGGGAGGCATGGAAATGCAACCTGGGAGTGCATGGTCAGGCTGTCACAGTGAGTGCTAGCTCAGTGGGGACACGACAGATTCTGCAGGACAGAAGCAGTGTGTATGAGGAAGCCCAGCATTGCCCACCTTACTTTCACCCTCCACTTTCCCCTGGGCATTGTGCAGCTCTCTAAAGAAGAGTGTTTGATGTAGCTACTTAGGGGAACATGTGCTGAGGCAGAGTCACATAGAGCTGATCACTGTATGCCCAGAGATGTAAACCCGGGTCCAATCTAAGGCTGTTGGTAGTAAGAGGTGGTGATCTCAATAATTAAGGACTAGACTGCAAAGGCCACTCTGCAGGATGAGATGATTGATGCTTGGCTCATGGCTGCAGCGAGGGCAGGATCAGTTTGCATGACAAGGAAGCCATGGGTGAAGTAGGACTAATGGGTGAAGCCACCAACCGAGGTGCAAAACGGCCATGCACTGCTTATCGCAGGGGGCAGTGTGAGAGGCAGGATGGACACAAGGGCTAGAGGTGGAGCCAGGTTACAATAGACCGTGGCAGGGGGATTAGGTCAAAAGAGCTTCAGAAATGGGCTAGCTTTCGGGCTGATCCTGGCTTCAATCACACCAGGCTGCACTCTCCCCAGGACTAATGTGGCCGAGACCTTCCCACGTCCCCCCTCAGTCTCAGGTCAGAACACACACTGTCAAGCTCCAGTTTGCACTAAGCTCCTAAATGTGACAGCCCTGGCAGTGTTCCTCAGTCCTGTAGGACTCAGGAGCTCGCAGACTGCAATCTCTGTACATCCAGCTTCTGAGCAACGCGGAAGTTGCATCCACTGGAGCTGTGGAATGGCCAGGCCCAGCCAACGACCAGACCGGCAGCGACAGGCAACTCTTTAGGTGCAGCGCTGCAGAGAAATCAGTAGGCCCCCTTCAAAGATAGTGATGGCCTTGAGGTCATAAACCCCAGACTCCGAAGCAGAAAGCAGATGAGGGCTGTGAATGTCCAAAGACACCTGTCTGATGTCACTGCATAGTGTGAAGCCTCAGGCCTCCTAAGACCACACCATGGCTCCCTGGTATCCAATGCAGGATCCACCCACTCATCGGGTACACACCCTAGACAAAGTCTTCTCTACTTTTTGATAAATGTCTATATTATAGAACTTTCCACACAAAGTAGAGACCAGGGAACACCGAACAATTTAGGGTGCCATCGACAGCTATCAAAATAATGAATTCATTGGTCATTGTCTTTCACCCACAACCGAATGACCTCGTCCTTGCTTGCTACTTTGAAGAAAATTCCATATATCACTTCTTTCTACCTGTAAATATTCCACTTCTGTCCCAAAATGAACACAGCATAACTGTAGCATGCTTGTCAAATCTAAGGACAATGTTGCAATAGTAACATAAAAATAATCCCAGTCTCTGCAAATCCCTCTCAAATGTCTTAAGTGTCTTAGTTGGGTTTGAAGTCCTGCTTCTTTGTGAATCTTACTGTCTGTGTATGAAGATGAAATGAGGTGTCCAATGGGCTCTGTGGTGCATTTTCTGCCTAATGTCACTGCTAGAGTCCCCAAACTGTCCTCTTTCTTCCTTACCAGCTAAGCTGCTGCTCCTGGGAATGGCCAGGGTCACTGCACAGCACTGAGCCTTCCTGAACTGTCCCTGAGTGTTTCTCTCTGCTTCTCCTTTTCCTTCGGAATATTTCTTCCATAGAGAGAATGAAAGGCATCCTCTCTATGATGAGCTTCAGGGAGGCCCTTCATTTATGAGAAGAGTGGGCTCTTCCAAGGGAAGCACCCTGCCCTTGAGGTATCTGCGAGTGATGTTCTCTACTGTCTCACAGGACACAAAGGTCCAAGAGGGGCTGCGCCCAGCACAGCTGCAGCTGGGGGTCGGGGAGGGGCAAGGCTAGGAGAGGTTTTTGCACTAGTCTGTGTCACAGTGTGGTGTGTTCGGCGGAGGGACCAAGCTGACAGTCCTAGGTAAGTGACTCCTTCTCCTTCTCCCTTGATTCTTCCATGATTTGAAAAAAGTTTCTGAAATTTTGTGAGCTTTATCTGTGTTGGGTCTCAGCCTGGGATCAGACTTTCTCCCTGCACTGTGGCTGTGGGTGCCATCTGAGCTCTTCTCCTCCTGTTCAGACCTCCATGCTTGCCTTAGCTGGTCATCAGCACTCTATCCCCTCTGACCTCAGATAAAGGGACTGAACAAGATGACTTACTAAGGCTCATCTGTCTGTCCGTGTGCCTGTTGTTCTCTGTCCGACTGTCAGTCTGCCTGTTACGGTTGGCAGGGAACTCCAAAGTGCACTTTTCTGCTCTCCCTCACATGCATTGTCTGTTTAATGAGCTTTGTGCAATAAGCTTTGTCATTCTGTAGACTGAGGCCCTGAGCTATGATAAATGGAACAAAAGGGGCACTGAGGTTTGAGCAAAGTGGAGAGTCTAGAGAGACCTATAACTCTAAGGACTGTAGGTATGAAACCACAGGTTAGTGGCTCCAGCTGCGTCCCTGTGCTTACAGCTAATAACCCAAGATGCAGACCAAAGTGAGAGGCAGAACTGAATCCCAAGACTCTACAGGCATCAGACCTGTGAGCCAACCTTAGGGGAAAATAGAAACTTAGGAGAAAAGGGACTTAACTTTGGACCAACAGGAGTCAAGCTAGGGGTGATTAAAGACTACAGTGGGGAAGTGAGCTTTTGGGGCTCTAGGACATGTGCTTCTCAGAAGAGCCAAGTGCTGAGCAGGTGCAAGGAGGCCAATGCACAGGTCTGCCATTTAGACCAGGATCAGAGATGTGCTGTTCACAGAGCAGGCACAAGACAAGGGCAAGTGAACTGCCCTGGAGGCCTGGCTCCATACATTAAGGGCAGAATTCTAGACACAGATTCCACAGAGCAGGGAGGACAGATTACAGCCTGCGCTGTGCACTGCCTAAAATCTGAGGCTACAGAGGTGACAAAAGAGAGAGAGTTGGCCAGAAAACCCAAGGGAGGCTACTTGGAAAGAGGTTCTAGAAACATCCAGGTTGGCCGTTCTCAAAGACGCTCCAGTGGTCCACAGGTAAGGTTGATAAAACGCACAAGACAGTCACAATGGGATAGGTCAGAATGACTCTGTGCAGGGGGATCCAAAGCCCCCACCTCAGCTCTGCTCACTCTTGTCCCCCTTGTGTTGGCCCAGGTCAGCCCAAGTCTGCACCCGCAGTCACCTTGTTCCCGCCCTCCCCTGAGGAGCTCCAGAACAACAAGGCCACGCTGGTATGTCTGATGAATAACTTCTACCCGGGCGCTGTGACCGTCAACTGGAAGGCTGATGGCACCACTGTCACCCAAGGCGTGGAGACCACACAGCCCTCCAAGCAGAGTGACAACAAATACATGGCCAGCAGCTACCTGAGCATGACGCCTGCACAGTGGAGATCTCACCAGAGAGTCACCTGCGAGGTCACACACGATGGCAGCACTGTGGAGAAGAGTTTGGCCCCTGCAGAGTGTGCTTAGGACCTTGCTTGGCACCCTATCCTCAGGGACCTGCAGTGCAAGGACTCGGAGGAAGAGTCTCCTGTCCCACCCCACTTGCTCCTGACTTTCCCTGTGATCCCCTTATTGCTCAATAAACCACCCCTTCTTGATCAGAAATTCTCTTTGTCTCCTTGGTTTCATCCATTATTTCACTGCCCAAACCTTATGGTTCTCCAGTGGGAATTTGGGGGAACACTTGAACCATTGCCAGATCACACTAGCCATATCTCATTTACTCCTCGATTCCTTTTTTTTTGCTGGGGGGAGGAACCAGGGATTGAACTCAGGCCCTTGCACTTGCCAGGGAAGTGCTTATTCCACTGAGCCATCTTCCCAGTCCCCTGGCCATCACCTCAGACCCCTTACTCCTCGATTCTAATCTCCTCAATACACACCCAAGCTTGTATCATGCACCATTTCCAGTGTGCCACTGGTAATTTGTCCCAACACTATTCTGAATTGCCGCTCTAGTTCAGGGCCAGTTCCATTGTGACATGCCACCTCCTCATCATCCCACCCATCCATGCTTCAACTGTGTTTCCTGAGCTAGTGGGACTCGGACCTAGCACAGTCAGTTGTCCCCACAGAGCGGCTGTGCTATGACAAGGAAAGGAAGCCAGCAAGAGTGCAGGTTGCTGTAGGTAATAGAGAAGTAGAGAGAAATGAAGGAAGGCTCATGGAAGGAGCATCAGGACAGAAGTGTAAATATGGGTGCAAGAAGGAAGTAGACTCCAAACAAAACTCTGGGGAGACTGAGGTTTTAACTTCTGGTTTTACCAGTGGGGCCTCATCAGGAAATCAGTGATAACCCCAAGGGTATAAAGTTTCCCATTAGCAGGAAACCGTGGGAAGGCATGGAAAATGCAACCTGCAAGGGCATTGCTGGGCTCTCACAGTGCATGCTAGGTGAGTGGAGACGCAGAGCTTCTGCGAGAGAGAAGCAGCATGCATGAAGAAGCCCAGCATTGCCCGCCTCATGTTCACCCTCTTGCTCAGCACTGGCCTTGTGGAATTCTCTGAAAGAGATCAGTGTTTCATGTAGTACTTAGGGGAACATGGTCAGAGGCAGAGGAGAACAGAGCTGACCACTGTATGTCCAGATACATGAGGAAGAGGCCAAATCCAAGCCTGCTTGTAGCATGGGGTTGTGATGTCAACCATGAAGCACTGGACAACAAAAGCAGGGTCTGTAGGATGAGATGATTGACGCTCAGCTCATGGCTGCAGCAGGGAGAGGATCAATCTGTGTGACGAGGAAGACATAGGTGAAGGGTGCCAATGAGAAAAGACACCAATCCAGGCACAGAATGGGCATCCGCTGATTGTCTGAGGGAGGACTGTGAGAGGCAGGAGAGACACAAGGACTAGAATGGGGGCCAGACTAGACTAGACCATGGCAGGGTGATTTCTCATGGGGGCTTCAGAAGGGGTGCAGCTTTCAGAAGCTGTTGATCCAGAGTCAGCGCCACCAGGCTACACCCCCCACTTCCCCTGGTGTGGCTGAGGCATCCCCATGTGGACCTCCAGCTTAAGGTCAAGGCATTCCCTGCAGACTCCCGTGGAGGCTGACCTCCTTCACGTGTGGGGCCCGGCAGTAGACCTCCCAGGCTTGAATGTTAGAAGAGCTGCAGATGGCAATCTCTGTGCACCCAGCTTCGGAGCAACACGGTAGCTGCACCCTGAACACTGTGCAATAGCCAGGCCCACCCAAGGACAGAACTGGAAATGACGGAGAATGACTCTTCAGTCATAGCACTGCAGAGAAACCAGTAAGGTGCCTTCAGAGATCATGATGGCCAGGAGGCCACAAACCCCAGTTTCTGAGTTAGAAAGCAGTTGAGGGCAGTCAAGGCCCCGCAGCACCTGTCAGATGCCATTGCACAAGCATGCAGCCTCAGCTCACCTAGGACCCCACCACTGCTCCCACAG